ATAAAATTAATAAATCAAATTATACAATGTAGGATGAAGCGAAAAAAAGTCCCCTAGAGGGAATTGCCACCTGTCCTACACCACAAATAAAACTATTAATTAATAAATCAGGGGGATAGCGCAAAAATGTCCCCATAAGAGGGAAACGCTACACACCCTGAAATATTCTTTACACTTTTATTTATTTGACTAAATAAGTATAAGATCATATTAAGCCACCATATATGTATTATTGTATTTATTAACTCCTAATAAATTTTGATTGAATGTATATCATACTAACTTGACATAAATGCTTTTTTTTTTTTTTTTTTTTTTTCCAACCCCAGCCCCCCCCCCCCCCCCCCCGAAGCCTTACTAGACGAAATAAAAACAAAACCATCACAAGACCAGCTACTCTTTTTTCTCTAGCTTTCTCTTTTCAGGCACTGGATTCTTCCTTCAGAGAACCAACAACAAAGGAATGAACAACAGAAATAATGACGAAATCAACCACCATACCGGACAACAAAACCAAATGGAAGGAAGAATGGTCCAGGCCTTACACTCACCAACAAGCCCCAAGGAAGAGTTACACCGCCCTGCCATTCAACCGGACAAATCGACCAGACCGACGAAAATGACTTAAATATATATATATATATACTATTCAAAAAAAGTAGGGGATATTTGATTTTTAAGTGTTATTAAAGTCACCTAATGAAACTGACGAAGAAACAAATGACAAAATGAAATGAAGTTCACATTCATCGATTTATTCCAAATGATCGTTAGACTAAGTAAGGCACAGACTGACCATTATAAGGGTAAAATGATACCCGGGGTCAAACAGCAAAGTTACCACAACATCACAACCAAGTCAGTAACGGGTAAATCCTCCTCTGTTTGCCGAACAAGCATTGATCCGACGTGGCATACTCCTAATAAGACGTCTAAGGTCATTTTGGTCCAGATTGTCCCATTCCTGTTGCAACGCAGCAGCAAGTTCTTGGACATTGGCAGGACGTTGTTGACGTTGACGTAACCTCTGTCCAAGCATGTCCCAGACATGCTCGATGGGGGAGAGGTCGGGACTCAGTGCTGGCCAAGGTAATGTGGTGATGTTCTGTTGTTGGAGGTAACCTGTAACGATCCTGGCCCTGTGACATCTTGCGTTGTCATCCTGGAAGATGAAACGGCGGCCATGACGTCGTGCGAACGGCACAACATGGACTGCCAAGATGTTGTCCCGGTAGTACTGGCCTGTAACACGCCCTGCAACAACATGTAAAGCCGTTCTTCCAGCAACAGTGATGCCTCCCCACACCATAACAGAACCACCCCCAAATCGATCATGTCTGATGACGTTAACGTCTTGGAAGCGCTCGTTTCGACGACGCCACACCCTCCTACGTCTGTCCGAAAAATCAACAGTGAACCTTGACTCATCTGAAAACATCACATTGCTCCAGCGTCGATTATCCCAGTGTTGACGATCCCTACACCAACGACGTCTTGCCTGAATGTGATGATCTCTCAAACAAGGGATCACGCGAGGACGTCGGGCGCGAAGGTGACCCCTATGCAGTCGATTCCGAATCGTCTGGCCACTCACTCTCACACCAGTGTCTGTTTGAAGACGAGCGCTGATCTGATTTGCTGTGATGACACGATTTCTCAAGGCCAAGGTACGGATAAATCGATCCTGGGCTTGAGTTGTCGCCCTTGGTCGACCTGAGCGTGGTCTGTCCTGTACAGATTGTGTATCACGGTATCTGGACCATAGCCTGCTTATGACAGACTGAGAAACATTCATCGTCCGCGCCACAACCGCCTGTGTTGTGCCGATCTGTAGCATGCCAAGGGCACGTAACCTTTCATTTTGGGTAAGGCGACGCATATCAAAATTTGTTTTCTGGTCACTAAAACAATTAAACTGATGTTTCCACCCTGGAATTCAATGCCACAATGACTGTTACATTCAAAGTCAGAGTCGTGCAAATCTTGGGTTGGACCCCCATGATGATCCCAAGCATCACCTGCATTCCATGCGGTAGCTATTGGTGCGTTTGGGCGTCACATGTAACTGGAAATGTTTCTTCTGTTAGGTTCTATAGTGACTTTTTTCGTAGTCATTTGCATATTTTAGTATTATGCCCCCAAAATCAAATATCCCCTACTTTTTTTGAATAGTATATATATGTACATACTATGTCTAAATGTTTGTCTCTGTCCAAATGTTCGTCCACATTCATGTCTGTTTTGTTACAAATTCGTCTGTTTTGTAAACGTCCACTGGCACCTCTTTATTCTTTGCACCTGCTATCTCATGTCTCTTGCTGTTATCTATTGTCTTCTGTACATATATATAAAAACCTAATTATCCTCTTTTTCACTAATCACATTGTAAATTATTGCACCTTGTATACATAACATGTTATTGTCTGCGATATCACCTAGGTGGAAGCGGACGTAAAATACAACTAACTAACAACAACAGCTTCGGCCCATACCAATTGCCAATTAAAGAAAAAATAAATAAAGCAGATAATTTATATGTTACAATTTAATTAAAACGTTTAATAGCATGGCCAGTCAACTAGTTTTTTTCTATTCCTTTTCAATACTAATAAATAATGGTATTGCTTGTATTTTTGTCTTGTCTATTTTTCTTGTTTGTTTGAGCATTTCTCTGATTAGAATATAATGGCTTGGGCTGTTTTTTTCATTTGAGATACCGACTGAAATTTCCTATGAGAAACAAAATAAATTGTCTACATATTAATAAAATATCAAGCTTTATTTAAATGAGACAGGGGCATGCTGGCAGGGAGTTTAGGAGGACGGTGTCCTCCCAGGCCCCCATTAAACAATAAGTCCACCCGTATAAGCAGGCCCCCCTGAGAGCTCTAATTTTCACGCAGAATCCCCTCACAAAATTGAGAGTGCGCACGCGAAAAATCATACATACACAACGATTAGTAAAATATATTATGCTGACGTGCAAATGTCTGTCACCTTAAGGTGAAATGGTCTTTGATACATGTATTCATGCCTCGATATGTATAAGATGCAATTTATTATTTGGATAGAAATACATTGTATTAGCATTATATTAAGCAGACCTGTCATGAGTGTCTTGTGTAGTACAGTAGTATGTCTTATAGTCAAAATAGCAGCATAAATTTGGAAAATATGATACCTAGATTTCTCCCAGAAGTGCTTGCAAAATGCGTTTCCCATTGTCAAATTTCAAAAATTTTCTGGGGGGAAAACCCCCGCAGACCCCCCTACCAGCACGCCCCTGAAATGAGATGATAGAAAAGTGAAACATACATTTATGTCATTGCAATAAGACCAACACTGTATAGACCACAGTATGCACACACATGACAAAATTGTCCTTTTTGTTGTATTTGTCATTCTGGAATAAACTGTCACAGGTAAAAAATAGTCGCACTCCAACCAATTATTTGAGCTAATTCATTAGAACACGATTTAACAGTGTCGCCTTTCTGTCTAAGAACAGTGCCGACTTTCGGTCTGAGATCAAAGAGAAATTTTGTGTAAAAAGCGTGATCTTCGGAAAGTATAAATTATATAATAAGGATGAAACTGAATCCAGTCTACCCGTAGTTTATCAGTGATGTGGAGTATAATAATAAAGCTATTTCATGCAATCGTAAACAATGGGAATATTAAGTTATGTGTTTAAATTTAGCTGTTCTTATAAAACCCATATTTCCATAGGTCGGTATTGTGCATGCAAAGACAAGCTTGTTACACAAATTGTGATGGAATCAGAGCATACCAGAAGATGTTTGACGATCAGCTACACATGTTAGAAGCGGACGCGAGTCCCTATTATTAAACATGATTAGTGTTATTTGGTATGTGATTTATCTATTGTTATATAGTGATAGAATTCTCTTTCCTTGGATAGCCCTATTTACGAGCCAGGTAAGAAATACATTTATAAAATATAACGGCAACGAAACTTACAGATTATCATTAATTGCGAGATTTTTGGTTTATAATTGTGCTTTCAAAACAGATTAGAGCATCTGATAGAATATAATCAAATAGAGGTTTGGCTGGATAACGATATTGCATGCGACCGATTTTAAGACACATGCATTTATAGTTATAGTTCAGTGGTACCACGATAATTAACCCGTTGCAATTTAGCCGAAAGTAGATTGTTTTACCAATCGGCTTGATTGAACTTCAAGCGGCTAAAGCCGTCAAAAAACAGCTGATTAAGATCCCTGGTCCACAACCTTGGTATTACATACTTTTACACTATTTGCATACAAGGAGCGGGCATTTTTGGTCCAATTTTCATGAAATTCGAATTCAATCGTCATGTCATTATGGTGTAACGGTGATTTATTTCAACAGTTTTTTAAATTGGATAAAAATTGTAACCTCTAGAGGGTCCACAAGCGAAAAAACACGATTTTTTGTAAAATCAGGGGCCATAATCCAGGAAGTTACGGTCCGATATGGGCAAATATCGAAAGAAACCAAGATCTTTGGGATATAAACATATATTTTAAGTTTCATCCAAACCAGATCAAAATTGTGACCTCTAGAGGGTCCACAATCTTGATATTACATACTTTAACACTATTTGCGCACATGGAGTGGCCACTTTGTTGGGCAGTTTCAGTCCGATTTTCATGAAATTCGAACTCAACCATCTTATGGTATAATGGTGATATACTCGAACAGAGGCCATAACTCAGGAAGTTACAATCCGATAAGCGCCAATAACGACAGGAACTGACATCTTTGGGTTATAAACATACATTTTAACATCCACCAAAACCGGATAAAAATTGTGATCTCTAGAGGGTCCACAACCTAAACACGTCATTTTTTGTCAATATCGAAAGGAACCGAGATCTTTGAGATATAAATGTGGGCTTATAAAAAAAAATACTACTACTACTTCCAGCAAGAAGCCATAATAGTAGAACTAATAATTTATTGATGATAAATTAAGAGATTAAAAATACCTTTTTAATATAATGTTGCAATTCTGTCTGTCGCCATTGATATTCCTCTACTTGACTGAACAGTTGACCATAATCTGACTTTAACCTACAATAAATACATTTTCATTAAATAGTTGACCATACTTTTAATTGAAAGTTGAAACTATAATAATTAAGGTAAATTTTCACATTTACAAATTACCATTTTTTTACTCTTCTACAATGTGTGTGTCTTATACACCACTTCTCAGAGTTGATTGGGGGTTAAAAGAAATTCAGAGCATCTCTGCGAGAGATCCACGCAGAGGGTGATGAGTCTTGGGTCAGGGATTTGGACCCAGATACATCCCCACAAAATATTATGTTGATTCAGTGGATACCAATTTGGAAAAATATTTTTTTTAATAGAAAAATATTCAAAAGATAGGGTGCATGGCAACGAAACATATGCCCACAGCAACTAAGTCGTCCGAGCAGTCAACAAGAGTTGTCGCATATTTTTTCTATTGTCGGTAATGAAACATTAAAGGAGCTAAGTCCCTAATATTTGGGACCTAAAAATTGACACAAATGGGTCGCAACGCATACAATAATGTAATGTGAATGTATATAAATTGATTAACATTCAATCGTTTCTGTTTTTACTGTAATTTCTAATCAGTTAGGTTCGACGAAATACGCCAGTATTCTCAATCGAATTTCAATCTCTAGCGTCTGTTTTTTCCAGTCCACGCCGATAGTATTTAATGGGCATACCCTCCAGATAAGAATATAGCATCACCGTTTGACATGACTTGTGGAATATGCCTAGCCTCGTTTTTCGAGTCCCTTATTACAAATAGCGCTGAAACGCATTATGGTACGTACTAAATGTAATTGTAAAATGTTTATTTTGCCTTAAATATTGGATATCAGAAGGCCATCTTTTCCCGGTAAGATCACAACATCAATGTTGATTTAAAGCGACAAATAAATCGTGTTTTCAATGTCGAAGATTTTGGATGATATTGAGTTAGAGACTTAGCTACTTTAAGAGTAACAACTATAAGTGATTATCCGAAAATCATTAGAAATTGTTTGGCTTTTAGATTTGCCTCATGCTAGCGTTTAGTATACGAAACATTTAATATCATGGATTTAGCTGTTCAAGTTATCAAAATTCATTGAAAATCAATATACTTGTTCATCTCAAGACATTAAACTCTGTTTATCAATCTAAAGTCAATCTGATGATAACTTAGGTCTCTAGAGCATCCACAAGATTTTTCAAAGTGATGAAGGGCCATAACTCTGGTAGTAGTTATCGGAAATCATTGAAAACCACTGGGCTTCTTCGTCTTAAACACTGTGTATAAATTTAAAGTCAATCGGATATTAACTGTAGCATCTAGAGCGTCCACATTATATTTCAAAGTGATTAAGGGCCATAACTCTAGCAGTAATTATCGGAAATTGTTGAAAATCAATAGGCTTCTTCGTCTCATGACTTTAAACACTGTGTACTAATTTAAAGTCAATCGAATATTAACTGTAGCCTCTAGAGCGTCCACGAGATATTTCAAAGTGATCAAGGGCCATAACTATGGTGGCAATTATCGGAAATCATTGAATATCACTGGCATTCACTGGTCTTCTTCGTCTCACAATCTTAAACAATGTGTATAAATTTAAAACCAATCAGATATTAACTTTAGCTTCTAGAGCATCCATAAGATTTTTTAAAGTGATCAAGGGCCATAACTCTGGCAGTAATTATCGGAAATCGTTGAAAATCAATAGGTTTCTTCGCCTCATGACCTTTTAAACACTGTGTATAAATTTATAGTCAATCGGATATTAACTTTAGCCTCTAGAGCGGCCATAAGATTTTTTTAAGTGATCAAGGACCATAACTCTGGCAGTAATTATTGTTAATCGCTGAAAATCAATAGGATTCTTCGTCTCATGACCTTAAACCCTGTGTTTAGTATAAGAAACGTTTAATATGGATTTAGCTGTACAAGGTATCAAAATTCATTGAAAATCAATCTGTAGGGAAATAGAAGATTTTCTACAAGTCACTTTTCAAGGTTTTTGGTCTATAAAAGTGGCAAATATTATTCGATTTTCATAAAATTTTCACCATGTGATGCCTTATGCTATTTATGATTTCACAGAATTAATTTAACATTTTCATTATCCTCGAAAGTACCGTCATGTTTGCAAAAACTGTATTTTTAGCCTCCAAAATAAACATTTTTTTGAAGTGAGTTATATTTATTATTCGTTTAACATTATGATATTTGACTCCAATGGACATATAGATTGAATCAATATGATCATATAGATATCCAAAAATTGCTTCTAGCATCTTCCCTTGTCGGGAAATAACCAATTTTTTCAGGATCACTTTTTAAGATTTTTTTCGCATTTTAATTTCTCATTAGAAAGTCAGCTAACTTAGCAGTAAGTCAAGATCACTATTTTGACATATGTAACACGTGGTAACAAATGTATAAATGAAACGTCTGCAATGTTTATGTGGAAATCTGTTCCACTGGTACCGGAAATGACATAAGTTCAAGGGTAACGTAGCACAGTAAGTGACATAAGTTCAAGGGTAACGTGGCACCGGTGAAACTCGTCATTACTGCATCACAGTTCTAGTTGGGGCCTAATTTTCTATTGGGAAACCATGTGGTGGCTACTTGATCGACTACTTTTCGAAATTTCGAAACTTTGTCGTTGACTTATATCATTTGAAAATTGCAAACATGTCGTTTACGAGACAATTTTTGTTAATTTTCAAAATATTCAAATTTGACCTACATTTTTGGATACCTGAAGTCAATTCCATTCCAATTTCCAGTAATATAAGTTTCATTCAGAGTTATCGCCCTTTTTTTTCTCGAATTTTTTGCCCATTTTATATCCTACTTTTTTTCTTTTTACGAGCATGAAGTCATATGGCCATAGCAAGGGATAAATCAATTTCAATAATGATCCGTAGACCGGAAGTAGTCGGAATAATGTCCAATATGTTGAAAACAACGCAAAAAATCAATACTTTTGGGAAAACGCGATTTTTCCGTTCGATTTCACTGGATTAATTAAATTAAGGTAGCGTCAAGTAGCCCGATGAATGGACTATCGTGCAGGGCTCAAAATTCACGAGAGCCATCAGGGCCGTTGCTGTCGTAAGCCTAGCAATGGCCTTCGATAGCTTTTACATCGAGGGCCAAAAATTTCTGTCGTAAATTGCGGAAAAAAATCAATAAAAATACTAGAGCCATTGGCCGTAGAATTACCCTAATCAGCAGGCGATGGCACCTATATCGGAAGCCAAAATAAATGAAAAAGTTCACGTATGATATGCATTTTCCCGTAAAACTTGGCTGATCTAAAAACCTCCCACGATTAATTTTTTCTTATGGACTGCTGTTCGTAGTTTACCCCCTCCACAGATGCCTGTAACACGTAACAGTCTTATTATACAAGACTACGATAAGCAGACCAAGCAGACGTTAGTCAAGTCTTTTGTGATAAACAAGGCTACGGTTCAAGACAGTGCTTGATAATCAGAGCTAGTAATAGAAAGTGAAATTCAGGACAGTGATGGAGATAATTTTGATATGATTCTCTCTTCTCAGTCTGAATAATGATGACTTTTGTTATTATAGACTATTTTATTGACAGGCATCTGCAAACAGTCGTGCTTTAAAAAAAAAAAAATAATTGTAGGAGGTTAAACGCATAATGTAATACAGTAATTTAGAAGTTTGAGACAAAAAATATCTAGACTTAGATAAGCTTTTAATTTCAGTGTTTGCCAAGGACTAAATATATTTATAAACATCTATTTCAGTTTGTCATGATTAACCTGTCCACGTTTTATTAAATGAATATGAAAAATGAAAGACTATTTATTTTTAAAATGTCCAGCAAAAATGGCCCTTTATAATTTCTAAATTGAAAAAATGGCCTTGGTGTTGAACAAAATGGCCTTAGAGAGGCTTCACTGTCTGAGGCCATTTTTTGAAAAATGGCCTTAGATACAGGTTAGCGAATTTTGAGCCCTGTCGTGTGATACCCAATTCATACAAATAAGGTGATCAAACAGCCAAATATGGCACGCTGATTTGGAGCGTTTTTGGCCGCCTGTATCTCAAAAAATGCTCCAGCGATTTTTCTTAAACTTTCTTGATCGAGAGACCCTTCGATAGTGTTGTGCATGAAGACATTCAATAGGATTTTGAAATAACTAGAATAGGAGAAAAATGGGATTAAAAATCGAAAAATCGTTAAATTTTGAAAAATGCTCTATTATTTTTTGATTTTTACAGATTTTCATATATTAAGATAGCTGTTTTAATGACAATTCTAATAATGTATAATATGTATTCAGCTATTGAAATTTAATTTTCAATATTTTGACATTTTTGCATTCATGGCACATTTAAACATGGGATTCCTCACAGTGATTTCATCTGATCAGATAATGTAATATATCATTATAGAGTCCATTCAGTTGCCCAAATCGGTTACTAAAACTATCCTGATAATGATCTCCTTCACGGAAGTATTCAAGAAATGAAAAAAAAAGTTAAAAAATTGGCACTCTTTCAAAAAACTTAGATTACTCCATCAGATATCAGCGGACCAAAAGAAGTAAAGGGTCGTTGGATAGTCCCACTAATTGACTATCATATGACATCTAAATAAAGGGATTTCGATGGTTAGGAAATAAATGATGGTACGCCGAAAATCTAGTATTTTCCATTTTGGAGCCCTTTGAGACGCCTTTTTCTCGAAAACTTTTCTTTAACTTTTCTTACTCAAGAGTCCTATATATTGGTAGTCTAGGGTGTGAATCCAAAAATAAAAGAATTGAAATAATAATATATAAGTGGTCAAAATAGGACCTCAATCTTTGAAAAAAGTTGAAAAATTGTTAAATTGTTGCTCTTCTATTTTTCTTTTTTTTGAAAACAGCTCAATGGATGTTTTTGAAACCTCTGGTACAGAAAGTTAAGTATTCAAGTGACTTATTAAAACTATCCCAACAATGATTCAAAAAACGGAAGCAGTCGAAAAAATACCTGATATTTTGAAAAAATAAAAAAAAGG